CAAAAGGTTAGTTTACAGACTTAGCCCTGTTTAATCGCAATGATTCGGGCTAACTCACACAAGGCGCCGCTGGCTGCTCCAATTCGCCAGTCGATCTCTTCCTCACATTTTCCGCCACTAGTGAACACGACTCCGAGGTACTTGAATTTTTCCGCCTGCTCCACTGCCTCTCCTTTAATCTGAAGAGAACAACGGGCAGAAGAACGTGAAAGCACCTGATCATCGCCCTCTGCCAACCGGGGGGCATAGCAACACAACAGCGGCTGAAGGAGATCGACGAAAGGACGACGAACATACCAGTCAGCAACAAAGTCGCTAACCATTCTGAATGAAGGAGGCAGACAGTGCGTTGCCATTATAGCACGCTGTAAGTTTTCATTGTGATATATTCCAATTTCTAATATGCACGTGTTAACGTTTCATTCATTTGTAATGTTTCATTTACTTGGTTGTTTTTGTGTGTAATCGTTACTGTGTTGCATGATGTGTCTGTTCTCATTTTTCTACAAAATGACGGTGCTACACTGCGCCAGGTCTTCAGCCAGCTGCGCTGAATCGCGTAAGGAATGGAATGAATAGAGGGAACGATAGATGGAGACCTTATCGCGTGATGGTAGGGATCAAAATTGCTGTAGTTATTTCGTAGGGTGATACGATGACGTCCTGTGAATTCAGCCGGTGGATCGCTGTTGTTCTTGCTTTTTTATGATCACATGTGCTTCAATAATTTTTTCTTCAGTCCTGATATGTATTTTGCAGTAAAGTCGTTTGAAGAATCATATCATTTCTTACATTTATATATTTAATTCCAGTTGCCAATCAAACTCTACACATATGTGCTTGTCATACCGCTCGTTTTCTGACCTAGCGTCAAGTTCTTTGACCCTTAAGTTAAACTTTGCTGACTCATTGCTCGCGATGTTTAATCCTTCATAGCGAAGTTGTTGCACTGTCGATCAGAAACGCCTCCGAGGTCAATTCGCGAGCGAAACGCCACTCATCTGGCATTTAGTGGCAACTAAGCAGCTCAATGACTATCATTGGCGCTGTGATGCCACCACACCTACAGCTGGGACAACAAATATGGTGGCTCAAAGCACATGAATGACATTGATTGCCACAGCAGTTTTTATGCCGTTCGGAATTATAAACTTTTTTTGAGAACCATCCGAACTGATTGGCTTCACTCATTCTATATATGCGCTCGTTTTAAAAAGACAATAACTAAAAAACCATTCGCTTCATTTTACTTAATCATTAAATTTCTTAAGGATCTAACCGTTGGGTTTCCTTATTTTTTCACAGTGACATTTTTAATGGCAGCTGACAATATGTCCACTAAATAATGTTAATTCTGAATGACGCAGACAAATTTTTCAATATTTTAATTCGAGGTACTACGCATTTAATTTTGCATATGTACTTAATTTTTATGCATAAGAAAAGAAGTTGTCGAGGCAAGGTCAGATGCAGCCGAACGCATCCACAGGATGCGTCTATTAGAACAACCTTCAGATATGAGAGTTAGCTGAGAAATAAGTGGAGAACCAGATGAATAAGTAGCAGCAGACAAAATAATTACAGATCTATGAGGGCTAAGGGAGCCAACGTCCGGCAAAATTGGCACTAAAAATCACCGCAAGGCCCGATGATATGGCGTGCACATGCTGTCATCACATAAACGTGCTCCTAACCTAAACGGGTCGTAGACGGTTCCCAGTCCGGTTGAGAAAGACAGGCGACGGTAAAAACTAATGTCAGAGCCAAATATGATGAGTCAACTTACCTCTACATAGAATTCTGTAATGTTTTCCGCAGGCAACGTACAGCGGCATCCCGACGGCTGTGAGAAATGAGCAATGAAACTAGTTCTTGCAACGACGGCAACCGCAAAGAATGAGACTGACATGCAGAAAACGAAGAAAGAAAATATAAGTATCCACTTGGAACATCAGAACAATGACGGGAAAGAGCATGGAGCAAGCAAAAGCTTTTCTGAGAAGAAAAGTTCAGATCGCTAATATTCAGGAGAGGAAATGAAAGGGTAAGAGGTCAAAAGAAACCCGGCTAGGGTATAAACTCATTTACTGTAGAACATCAAGCACAAGAAATAGAGTTGGAGTGAAAATGAATGAAGCGACCAAAGGATAGAATCACGGGTGTTAGGCTGGCCTTGGAAAGAGGAAACTTAAGCATAGTTGGTGACTGTGCCCCTCAGACTTGCCAGAATGAAGCCGAAAAGTCGAAATTCTGGGAGAGCCAAGAAATGGATTACATAACATACAGAGAAACGAAGAAGTGGCAATCGGAATGACCTTAGCGGGCAAGTCAGCAAACATCTAAGAGGCTACGACTGAATCTGTGACGGACAAGGACATGGTGTTTTAAATAAAGAAGAAAAAACTGCTTGCAGATAACAGTTACATATGATTTGCCTCTGACAAACACTTTCTTCCAGAAAAGAGTAAACTATCTGCTAACCTACAAGAGCTGGCAGACAGGAAAGGCAAATCAACTATTTACAGCACCTAAGCAACGAGCTTAAGAACTTCCGAGGTGGTAAGGCTATCTTCCGGGAAAGAATCATAAGCCATCACAAGCTACTGGTCTTAGATCTCTCTCCAAAACAATTCATTCAGACTGTGGGCACTGCGAGAACCCTGAAGAGACAGTGGTGGAGGATCGAAGCAAAGCTGAAAGAAGCGTTCAAAATGGAAGTTAATGAGAAAATGAGAAAGAAGTCAGGAACAGGAAAGTACATGAAATATAGAAGTGGACAGCCTGAATTATCACAAGGGATGTCAGAGGCCTAATCGGAGAAACAAACGGCACAACACATACCCAAAAAGAAATGTGTTTGTGGAATGCGGAGGAGCAGACGACCCTTCAACAGAAGGAAGAGCTGTTCAAGAAATAGCGGCTAACAATCAGCGCTGAAAAGTGAGTTAAATATGTTAGATCGACGAGAGAGGTAAAGAAAATCGTCGCCAAAGCAAAGCCTACAATGTGCAAGAGTTTATACAAAAACTGGCACCGAAGCAAGGGGAGAAAGATATCTATCGCAGAGTAAAAGGGAGAGAAAGGAGAAGAACTGACGTTGATAAAGCGGAGGGCATAAAAGATGAATGCAAAATGATGCGGACAGATGAGAAAGATATTCTCAATCGATGGCGCAGACAGTTCCAAATGTTACTAAATGGAGAACATCCAAGTGAGGCTGCAGAAGAGATCACACAAAATCAGGAAATAGTGGGGAAGTTTTCACTCAATGAAGTGAAACAAGCTTTGAACTAAATGAAGAAGAAGCTCTTAGCCCCGATGAGCTCGTCATAGAATCAAAGAAAGCACTGGAACAAGAAGGAGTGGTTTGGATCTGCGCTCTATTCAACGAAACAGTTGAAAATGATTAGCGTACCGGAGTCATGGAGGCAGAAAATTTTAATACAACTGTGCAAAATTAAAGTAGATATGCTCGCCTGTGAAATTTAATAGAGAATGAAATAGCTTAGTTATGCCATGACG